TTCAAACTCGTAAAAAAATTGTGTGGCACATTTCAATTTGCAAACTAATTTCAAATTCATAATCCAGTCGATTTTTTTTTCTTGACTGTTTAAATTATTCTATGGTTTATTTATTACCCGCGCACACAACTCGAACTCACTTTCGATACGGAGTGAGAGAGAGAGGAAAATTTTATCGCGTAATTTGATCTAATCTTCAATTTTGATCAAATGAAAATCGTTAACACATGCCTCTAATTGATTTGTTCTCTTCTCTGTTTGTTCTCAACGACGCAGTTTTCGAATTGATCACTGGCTTTTTTATCTGATGAATTTAAAATGATTTGAGTCATCGGCCGGTTCGTCTTTACTTGCGCGCGTGCGTCTACGTGTGAGTTAGTGAGTGATATTCTTTATGGTGCTAAATTTTATAACATGCAAATTATTTCATTAAAAATCATCAGTAATTTCAATTTCTCACACAGATTCTCTCGCCCAATATTGAAATGTCATCAAAAAGAAGATTTAACCATGACAGGATTTATGAACAATAAAATTCTTTGACCAATTTTGTGTGAAGCGAAACTGAACCAAACAAATTGTCAACACAGAACCGTGGCCAAATTGATTTTTTCTATGTGTTATCCTTGTTATGCTTTGTTGCGCTTTTCTTCCCGAAGAGAGATAGAGAAAAAAAAAGTTTATCGGCTCGTGTTTTCAATTGCAATCTCTCTTGTTAAAATGTAATTCCAATTTTCAACTAGCAGCTCCTTCCATTGTACACTCGCTCATATTCCATTAGACACTGTCGGAGATTAGTAGCGAGAGACGAGAGAGAATGAGAGCAAAAGAGATTTTGGTTCCGTTTTTATTATTACAACTAGTTTCCAATCCCATGCCTCGATAAATCCATTGTAACTTATTCGAATGGAAAATGAACTTGTCTGAAATTAGCTCGAGATTTGGCAGCCAGAATTAATTTGTATAAATTTTTTGCCTGACGATAGGCATAGAGAAAGAGAAAGAGAGAGAGAGAGAGAGAGAGATGAACATCTTAGATGTAGATACAAAGATACAATCAGATCGAGATATGCGCACTAATCAAGGTAACAAATGGCAGTTTTAACACGATTTTTCGATCATTGATTTGGCCTGTTGTAGTTGTCGTTGTTACAGGGTGAGATTTTTATTACTGTTTACAAGATTTTTTTGAATCGATAAAAAATCACTATCCTAATCTCAAGGCTAAAGGTTTTTTTTGACGAAAAATGGAGCCAATTAGTGAAACAAGTAAAGACATGATTGTTCTTTTCAAATATGACGTCCTTCTATCTCGAAATCAACTCAATTGATTTACACTTTCAATTTGTTACCCATTTTTGTATTTACCAAATGAAATTTTTTGTTTTTCACTCTTTTTGGGAAAATTAGCAGTAAAAGCGTAACAATTCACTCTGATTCCGAATATGGCCTTCATATTATAGTCTAAGAAAGAAGCTTTAGTACTAACGTCTTCGTTTGCAATACAAAAGAGAGATACAAACTTTGTGTTAAATCAAAATTGTGTTTATTGATTGTGTAAGCGTTTTTCACTGTCTCAATTTCGGATGATGTTTACAAAAAGTCAGAAAGTAATATTCTCTGTCCAAGTCGATTCGACGCAAACACGGCGTGTGTTTAACATGCTCAATGTTCATGCATCGACGCCACAAAATCAATGTTTTCGTTATTCGAGCCACTTTTGTTTACATTAAATTTTGGCCTGTGTTTGTATACAACGGCAGGCAAACCAGTGAAGAGCAAGAGAAGTGTTGACAGTGTTCGAAATATCTTTCTCTTTTTTTCCTAATGAAATATTGACTATTATATTAGCGTTTGTTCAATTGGAAATTGTTCATCTCAATCTGGTTCTTGGTTATAGCCACGCTGTTCTTTTCAACTTGATCATAATGCCGTCTCATTTATTCTGCATCAACATAAATGATGACCGGTTCTTCTTCTTTCTCTTAATGAAAAAATTCGTATGCATTCAAATTTGGCATAGGCTTTTGCTTCGCTCACATTTATACAACGGTCTCCTTCATTCTGCTTACGATATAATTTTCAATTTTGATGCGCATATAATTCGCTAGGCAACGAATTCACCGACTTGAATATATTTTGATTTTGATTCGCATATACTTTGAGGTGGCCAGAGATCTCATAGTTTGAAATGGTTTGCTGTGCCTTAAGTTCAGCGGAGAGCAAAATTTGTGGCACCGCACAATATGCGTTTGAAGCGTTGAAAAGGAAGAGAGCGATTACAATGCCAATAATATTGACACTATGCATTATAAAGCGAAAAAAGCAGAAGCTAATGAGATCAAGCGTTTGGCCACCTTTTTTGTTCAATTTTTGAGTAAATCCGATTTTTTCGATAGGAAATTGTTTTTTTTAATCAAATAGGAAAAAGATCAAAGTCTCAGTGATTAAGTTTAATTTGAACTATTTATGTTTTTTGAATGCATTTTATTTATTCAAGTGTTCCAGCTGATGTCGCTTGTAATATGATTTGCTGTTCAATGGTCCAAAAATTGAAATTTTCGTCTCGAATTTGTATTTCACAAATATTGAGAATTCTGACAAATGCATTGGGCTCCAAAAAATCATTCTGCATTGCACTAATTGCAAAGTAGAAAATTCGCTCGAATTGCGTTTATAAACTTTATACCTATTGAAAACTATGTTTTTTTTTTTCTAAAGAAAATCACTGTTTGTCTATTGAAGAAGACAATTTTTGCTTCAAATTTTCATTATTCCATACGAAACAATGAGCATTATTGTTTGATCGAAAACCTTCAAATTTATTGTATATTCGAGAGAAGAAGAAAAATTGACGTTGTTTTCATTGGAAATACATGCATATGGACTGTGTCCAATGTTTGCTAAATATATAGACGGCGTAAAATGCGTACAAACCATTCAAAATATGAAACGTTTGTGTCAAAAGAATTCTAAATATGGTTGTTATCACATCGCAATGATCTTGATCGAATCGATGATAAGATTGATGTAAAACGAACGAATTTTTCAAGGTTCGTTAGATTCCCAAAATAATGGATACACAAAGACAAATTCCAAAGCAAATTCTTTTGTAGCCGAGAAGAGAGCGGGCGAAAAAAAAATTGTATTACTTGAATTCCAATACAAGGATTAGTTGAGATTAGTAGCAAACATGTAATGCAACCGTACCTCATCGTAAACAAAACAACACGGCCCGCCATTCGAATATGTTGAATGCCAGAGACGACACGAATGAAAAGAAACATGAAAATGGCACGTATATGTTTTTATTTTCACTTGACAGATCCGTGTATTGTTTGTCGTTTAAAAGGTAAAAGACAGTTCGCGATGAGTTTCGGAAACCTAAATCACCCTCATCTTTAATCCGCACACACAACACAGAGCTAGACAGAGAGAGAGAGAGAGAGAGAGAGAGAGAGAGGGAGCAAGGAAAAAGAATCGTATATGTAAAGTTAAATGTGGCTTATCAGCAACTTCAATCAATTTTCTCGAGAATAGAAAACCAAATGTGGGTACCGCAGTAGGTAAAATCTCGCTTTCATTTGATTCCATTTTCAAATAGACGTATTTTTTTGTTTCTTTGCCCGTTGTTGTTGTTTGCAATCGCTTTTGTCATTTAATCTGCTACGACTATATCTTTTTATTGGCTGTAAGGTTCATTTGTGTTATTAAATTTCGGTATTTTCCATCTCTATTCAATTGTTATGAACGAAAGGAAGGAAAAAAATAAGGCAAACGAAATGAATAATATTTTGTTGTTTGTGTTGTTTACGTATATTCAGGTCTCGCTTTTGGATTCGCAACCGAAAATAAACCGACTAAAAAGAACAAACAAACGGATTTTTTTCTCGACTCTTTCTCTCTCTCTCTCTCAACGCATAATCTTTCAATTCAGCTACTGTTGTTTTGTCATGCCTTTGGGCATTTTACGTCATGCCATGGATTTTACCGTGATTTTCAACCATTTTTCGGACGATATTTCTCTCTTTTTTATATTCTGCTGTCGAATTTCATTGTCTACGGTTTTCGGATTATCATTTTTTTTTCATTTGAGACTATTCAGCCGAGAGTGATGCATATAACTGTGTATGCACACGTGTGCAATGCTTCTGATCATACTGTTTCAATTATCTCTTCGAGTCTTAGTTGTAATAATTTCCTAAACCCATGTTGAACATTTGGGAAAATGATCATTTTTTTTTAGATTTACAATTCACACATCTTGATAAGTTATGGTCACTCTTACTGACTGATACTCTGATCGATATAAGCACATGTAATCATCGTGTAAACGAATATGTGTAATTGTGCAATAATCATTTTGACCGATCGAATTAGTATGATATTGACCGATCCATACTCGGTTTTTGGATCGATTTTGATTTATTAGAGTTTTAGCCAAACATTAACTTGCGATGTATTTTGCATCGGATTTTTTTTTCTCCATGAACCCCATCAATTTGTTTGGTCTACAATGAAATTAAAACGAAATTTCGTTCGGATATAATCATTGAGCGCAATCAGTTGCTTTTTTTGTAACAATACTTTATGCGACATAAATTATGCGATTATTAATTTACGACACATAATCTATATATACTATTTTAAACATGAATTTCATATGCATTGAAAGAAATGGTGACGATAAGCAGACTTTGATAACACAGTAGCAGAGATGAAAATATGATTTAATTAGCCCAACGAGAAGTTTAGTACGTTTTAATTGAATTTGAAATGGAATTAAAGGCATAATTAAAGCGGATGTGTTAATCACGCGAGCAAATCAAACGAGAAGGATGTGATTCACAACATTTGATAAAATGCTGATAAAAATATGGTGAAAATGTTGGAAAAATTTCGCATATAATTGTGTTCATTCTCTTGTTTCTGTTTGGAATGAACGATTGAATGAAAAAAAGAGTGATTTTTCAACTCAATTTTTTTTTCTAAATTAAAAACCAGAAAATACTCTCTTTTCAGAATGCTCGATAGCCTGAGTCCAACGTTTTTACTTTTAGTGTTTTTGGCCCTAGTAAATATTGATACAAACTCAGGTAAAGTTGAAATCATTCAAATTATCTCGAAATTGCAAGCCGCTTTTGCAGCAAATCATTAAATGCTAGTAGAATTAAAAATATCATCGTTTCAACATGAATACAGTGTTTTTTTATGATATCAAACCAAAGTAGACTTTTTCGCTGTATTAGTATTATTATTTCATCTGACGATATTGAATGATTTTTCAATATTTATGCAGAACTTTTGCCAACCTACTCGAATCCAGTGAACAAATTGGTTTTTTTCAACGTGAGGACTCATTTAGACAAGTTGTTTTTAAGCTGCAACCATTCGACCAGTCATGTGTTGCATTGGTTTGTATTTATTCATGGAAAATATTCTTAATTCATTTTATTCATGTAAAAAACCGTCGTATTGAAAGCGTCCGATGAATTCCAGGCAAAAAGACGGAATCGATGTCACCGAAATTCCGAGTTTAAAAGGACGGCATGAGATAAATGCAAACAGTTTGGTAATTAATTGTCCAACGTATAGTGATGATGGCAATTACACATGTCTTCATCCCAAATCAAATGAATCGGCCAACATTGAAGTGTATGGTAAGTGGTAAGAAAGGGGAAATTTACAAGCATTTTACAATGTCACATTATTCATGTCCTGGCAGTGAACAATGATAGTTTAAAATCAGTGATCGAACATCAATTGTTATTGGAACATATAACAGGCTAAAGTATAGCCGCTGAACATAAAAATCAATATTTTCATTGAAATTTTTTTTTCAAATGTCACTTTTCTGCAGCTTCTGTACACATAAAAAATTCGCCGACCAGAATAAATGTGTTAAAAGGTACAAACATAGAAATTCATTGTGAAGCATTTGGAACTGATCCCCAAATCACATGGACAATCGGTGAGTTCGAAATAAAACTTCAAGCACCAGTTCTGCCATCAATATGCTTCAACATTTTAAATCATGTCCGTATACTGCATCCATTTTTTGCGAAACGTTGAACATTGCTGAAATTTTGTTCATGTTGTTATAAGAAAATTCGATAAAAAATGAAGTCGAATTAGATTTTGAAGAAGTTGTCTAAAAAAATGTTCTTGAAAATAAAAATGTCTGTTCCATTCTATGCGTTCCTTATGAATACAGGTGGCAGTGAGAATTTGAATCAAAGTCGCGTTCAACTAGAAAAGGACATGAATAATGTGACCAATGCCATACTTGTCATTGAAAACGCAACTGCGTCAGACCAAAATACCTACGAATGCAGCGCAAGGAATAAGGCCACTGGATTCAATGCGAATTACACGATAGCGAAGAAACAAATCAATTTAACGGTATCGAATGGTGAGTTGGAAACAAATTTTCATGATCAGCCAAACGAAGCGATTCAAATTAAAATGATGTTGTTTATTTTAGACCTGGTGCTAGAATACTCGGATCCATCAAGAAAGTTATTGTTTTTCGACGATAGAAGAAAAAGGCCGTTGAAATTACGTTTAGATACAACGGTATTTGGTTACGATTTGATATGGCAGAAGAATGGGGTCAATGTTGATGTGATCGAAAGTTTAAAAGGTCGTTATGTAATCACAGAAAATTGGATGGTGATTAGTAGTCCACAGCTCAGTGATGATGGCAATTATACGTGCATTGTTCCTCAGTTAAATGTGTCGGCCAACATCGAAGTGATTGGTAAGTGAGATCAAACGACAGCATTGTACAATAATTAAACTGCAAAATTTTGCAGCGAATGTTTACTTGCTGAAAACATCATCAATTCTATATGTGAAAGAGGGCGATAGAGTAGAAGTTCATTGTAAATCGTATGGAACTGATCCACAAATCACATGGCAATTACGTAAGTAATCTAAATAGTCTGATCCTAAGTCAGTCATCAACAGGAATGATTCAAACTCCTTTTTTTCATTTTCTCGATTTTCATCGATCCATTGATAGCTAATGGCAACCGAAATCAATTGAAATTTCAACGCAATTCGGACAACATCACGGACGAGACATTAATTATTGAGCACTTTACCGCTGATGATGTGGGTCGCTACAAATGTATCGTTAGCAACAAAGCAACGGGATTCAATTATTCAATCAACGAAATTTTCAGAAAAGATGAAGATACCACTTTTATAACTATTGGCTCAGGCAATACGTCTCAAGATCATGACCATTCGCAAACATCATATTCAAAGCTAAGCGCTGGCTTTGGCAATAATGCCATTTTTGCTATAGTCACTGTTTTGTTCACAATAACGTTGTCGAATAGTTTGACGAAAAATTGATTTCATTCCATTTGTTAAAGACTAAAGATACTCTATTTGGTACGAGTTTCGTTTCAGTTGAAGGCAGACGATGTATTCTGCTAATGTCAGCTAGCTAACTGAAAATATCTGGCTGGGCTCAGCGGTTGAATTCTATGCGTTGCGTTTTTTCATCGCATCTGCAGTACAAAATTCATATATTTGGAAATTTTTGTTTTGTTCATTTACCGTTATTTGCCAACATGTCTGCCTGTATCAATGCATTGCCACTGTACATAGTAAATGTTCATAGGAATGTGTAGAGACAATGCAATAAGATAGGCAGATTTGTTTACAAACAACAAAAAATGAACAAAACAAAAATCCCCATAAAACTAAATGGCGAACATTTTACATTTCTTATGGACTGTATACTGCAGATGCGATGAAAAAACGCAACGCATTGAATTCAGCCGCTGAGCCCAGCCAGATATTTTCAGTTAGCTAGCTGACATTAGCCAAATACACTGTCTGGTTGAAGGTAAATTTGTTTTAAATTGAATATAAATGAACGAAACATGTTTAAAGTGCGCCTCTTTTCACACTGTGTCCTTAGTTTACGTGAAAATTTGTGACTTTAATCTCACGTCAACAGTTTGAAAGATATTTAGTTTGTTTCTATCAGGATTAAAACACACCCATTAGATTGTTTACCGAAATATTTTATATTGATTGTAATTATGTTTTAATATCTTTATTGGGTACGTATTAAAGCGTTTAGCGCACAAACCATTAAAATAGTGAGGACATGTACGAATAAATTACAAAAATTGATGTAAATCGTTGTGTGGATAGACACCAATTTGACTAAAACTTATCTGGTTTGTTTGCTATATTTGGTTCAATTCATTAAACGCGAAACTGAACCACAAGTCAAATGCTAGACCCTAACGCCATCTATTGATTCTTGTAGAAATCATTAAGGTTTAGACTTAGTGTAGGCTTGACATGAAACTCAGTACTTTACTGTTACTTAACTTACATTTAAGCTACTTAAACTAGCTTAATGGCAAAACGTCGAACCAAATGGTAGTTGTACTCGCTGTTGACGGCTGCTGTATTTGCCTTGTGAACTGAACGTTCAACTAGACAATTTGTTGAAGCGAAATAGACGAATTTGTATGTTGGTCTGTATTTATAAAAAGAAAGTAATCAATTGAAAGGTTTCGCGTTGAAAGGGCAAGATGGCGACCGCAAATACATTTCAATACTTCCACAAATTGCTGTTAGCCGAGAAGCGTCTATGCGATACTTCCACACGCATATAATCATGTATTGAATACATACAAAATACGAAGTGTGAAGTTGTAGAGCGCCGTCCATAAATGACGGCAAAATTCCGCACTAATTGGTGTGATTTCACAACATTTCTCAATATGTCGAAATCACTTACGGCTATTTACAGCTGATTTTGCCGTCAATTATGGATGGCGCTCTACAATTGTTCAAATTTTGACAATAAGCGGGTGGATACTTCTTACTCACAACGACACGCGCTGAGTGTGTGTTTATTCTTGAACACATTGACGAATTATTCAAATTTAAATCTAGTTACCGTTGTTGTGTAAAACAAATACCGTTCGCTGTGAGACAAATCTACACACAAAACAAACTTTTCCGAATTTAAGAAGAAAAAATTCTTGCATATGGAATAAGAAAAAAATAGTCTTAATTCTCAAGTCTACCATAAGAAATTAAGAATTTTTTTTTCCAAATTTAAGAAAAAAAAAATTTATTCCATATTTAAGAATTTTTTCTTCTTAAATTTGGAAAAGTTTGTTTTGTGTGTATCAATGAATCAGCTGACCAAATACCCATCGATGTAGTTTGGACTGGGTTGTCAAACAAAAACGCGCCGTTTTCAAATTGGTATAGAAATTTAATTTTTATGTGCCGATTTGGAATCGGCATGTTTTTGTTTGGCAATTCAGAAAAATGTATCGATTTGAAAACGGCGCGTTTTTGTTTGACAACCCAGTCCAAACTATATCGATGAGTATTTGATCAGCTGATTCATTGATACACACAAAACAAAGTTTTCCAAATTTAAAAGCTCTATCCTTTTTTTGAACCATTCAATCGTGTTTTTTATGGCTGTGGTGTTAGGACCATTTATAAGTCGTCCGTAGAAATCTGCAGATTCTTTCTGCGGGATTCATGGGGAAAAGATCGGTTGGATTTTGCTGATATATTGGTATGGTGGCATTTGAACCAATTGCATCCAATTCATCGCGGATCCGGCGAAGTACAATTAGGGCCAATGCCAACTGTTCTTCGTTGTTGTATCTTATTGTGTTGCCCGTTCTCCCAAAACCTCTCGTACGTGTCCGTGGTATTCCTCGGCCTCTTTGTCTTTAAATTCGTGGTAATTCATCTGGTGAGGCTCTGGCTGGTACATTAGCATTGCGTGTTGTGTTTCGAGGAGTGCGAGCTCCACGCCCACGTGTGGATGTATTTCGGTGACGTCTGGTACCTCTTCTGGCACCTCTTCCGGTTTCAGTGTTTTTTCCACGGCGTGTTTTAACCATGTTGTTGACTTGTTTATGTTCAATTCGCTTATCACTTTGTTTTCGAATCACTTCGTCTATAGTTCGTTTTTAGTTTCTTTTTTTCACTTATGTTCGTCTTATCACTTTGTTTTGTTCTTTCGTTTTTCTCGCTTTTTCTTCGATTTCGGCACAAATTTTGAATACATCCCTTTTGCACGAGGGATAGACTGTTCACAATGATTACAACTCAAACAGTACCAGTCGTTCGGCATTTATGATAGGTTCAATTGAATGAACCCACCAACTTAGCACGGCCTTATAGCGCCACAGAGGAAATATTGATTCACGAATATGGTTTTCGTTTCATAAAACTCAATATAAAATTCCGAAAAATCAATTATGGGCCAATTTTATTACGTCATTTAACAATAAATTTAATCTTAATATCAAAAGTTCCTCTAAAGCTGACGGGTGTTTGTACAGAACATGACATGGACAACAAGCATTGTTGCTGTCAAAGCTGTCATGCTTTGATATTTACGTAAACAAAAACACCAGTCACGATTTTTGCATGAGTTATCCCATTGAATGGAATTAATGTTGAAGGAGTTGTTTTAATGAAACTTACGTTAAGCAATTAAAATCATAAAAATTTTAAATCTGTAATTAAAAAAAATTGTGATTTAAAATTTTTATGATTTTAAT